TCTGAGACTGAACATGTATCATCTGGCCTTAAAGTTACTCCTGAAACTATTTTTGAGGTTGCTACGAATTTGGAGAATATGTTTGTGCTGGTAGGATTCATGGCAGGTGTTGAAACTACTAAGTCTGGAAGGGTTAGTGGTAAAAATAAAAAAGGAAAAGAAAAAGAGAGTGAGGGTGCTCGGAGTACTATGAGGGGAAAGGGAAAATGAGTGGTTGGTTCTTCACCCACTCTTGTTAGTCTAACTAAAGAATCAGGTGCAATGGTTATTTGGGGTGAGGAATCTGCTAGAATAGAGGAGAGTGTGAGAAAAACAAGGGGAAGTGGGTCTGGAGAAGCTGTTGAGGGGCTGGTTCAACTTGGAAAAAATGTAGATGAACCTGTTCCATCTGAATAGGAAACTCCCGCAGACCTACTGAAAAGGGTGACTGCAAGTTACAATCCCCAGAAGAAAGGAAGTTCAGGAGTTAACACCCCTAGCACTGCTAGGGCAAACAAGAAAATGAAGATTGCCTCTTCTATCCTTGTTAAATTTCCTCCCACAAGAGGAAGAGCCATAAGAAGTCAGAAGAAGCAGAGTGAGGCTGAACTGGAGAAAGCCTTAGAAGAAAGTAAAATAAAAGTTGCTGCTAAGGGAAAGAAGAAAGTGGGTGAGCCTGTTGAGGTTTTTGAAATTGATGAGATAGACCTGGTTCTTTGAGATGAAGATGAGACAGAAGAAGTGGAGATTCTGACTTCTAAAGCTAAGAAAGCCAAGACTTCCACAAAGAAGTCTGTTTCAAAGTCAAAGTCCGCTGAACCATCCACTTTGGCTAAAAGAACCAGGTCTGCTGTGAAATCAAGAAAAATAAAAATTGTGGAGGAAGAAGAATGGAGTGGAGAGGAAGAAGAAGATGATTCTGATGCTGAGAAAGACAAGATGGTAAAATTTGGAAAGAGGACTATCTTGAAAGGCATACTCCTCAGGGACTTGGAGGAGGAAGAAATGGTGATGCTTTTGGAGAAGTTACAGTTGCAAGGATGGAAGGACATGGTCCTTCAAATGGATGGCAGGCTAGCCAGAAATGAAATTGTAGAGTTTATGGACAATTGTGAGATAAAAGATGGTAGGGTCACCAGTGTGGTAAATGCGGTGAAAGTAACTTTTGATGAGAAAGAGCTGAGAGAGATCTTGGGTGTACTTGCTGAAGGGTACAAAGATTATAAGAAACTAAAATGGCCAAGTCTAGAGAATCTCCCTACTGCCCTTGCTATTACTAGGAAATTTGGTGACAATGATGAGGAACTTGAGCCTAAGGCTATTTACAAAAGTGAGATGAAGCCACCCTCCAAAGTGTTATTCGAATTTGTAAAAAAATGTGTGCTGCTTAGGCAGGAAAGTAGGCACATTGCCACATTCATGGACCTGGTCCTTATGGGATATTTGGATAGTGGGTGGCAAATCAATTGGCCTGGGTTTATAATCCAACTTCTTGATAGGGTTCTAAATAGCACTAAGACTCATGATACCCTATGGCTTTATACTCACGGATGTACTTGCACATTTCAAGGTAACCATCAAGAAATGGGAGGTTGGTACAAGCAAAGATCATTTTGGGGCAAATACTCTGACTACTTGTGACTATGAAGTCCAAACCACTCCTAAAGAACCTGGTTCATCCAAAAAGATACCAGTGAATAGCAAAGTCCGATCCTTGGTGCAAGATAGTGGGGCTAAAGATGCTGAGATTGATAGGCTGAAGAAGAGGTTGGCAGAAGTGGAGACTGTGAGAGATGCTCTCAAAGCTGAGTTGGCAAAAGAAAAGGAGAAGAATGATGGCATTCTTCAGGATATGCTGAAACTACTCCAAGCCAAAAACCAAGAACCTGGTCCTTCCCAGCCTTAAGCCTCCTAGCCTAGTGTAGATCAACCAGTGACCCAGTTCGGGATTTTTTTGTTTCTTTTGCTTCTTTTGCTCATGTTCTAATGTTTTTATTTCTTCTTATGCTTTGTGGTAGGATCCTATCCATCAATAAAATTCAATGTCTTTTGCTCTAACTGTTTGTTTATATTTCTTAGATGGCTAATATCCTTAGATTGATATATGATAATTAATCTATGATTGCATGTGAAGTAGCTCCAGTGGCCATGAGTAATTTCTATTTAAAATCTGGTTATCCAACATTATTATGCAACTTTTCGATGATGCCAAAAGGGAGAAAACGGTTGTGCTTTCACTTTGGACAGTGATGCTTATAACCTAATGAACCTGGTCCTTGATGATAAGTGACTTTAAAAAGGTAAAATGTTCTAACATTGTATTGATGTTGGGCTGAGTTAAAACAGGGCCTAAGCTTATGAAAATCACAGAGTTTGTCATCATCAAAAGGGGGAATTTGTTGGCCCAAGTGAAGTTTTATTTTGAAGATTGACAAAGAAAGTTCAGGCATGAACTAGGTCCATCCCCTGTGTACACATACACGGGGAGATTCGAGCATGAGGAATGCACGTGAATGAGATAAGCTTAACTTGTTATATCTGATACCTCTTGATCGGAAAGGTTGCATATTTGATAAGGAGAATGACTCCTTACTTAAAGAGAACACTATCCAAGATAAGTGAGGAGTTAGAAGTTGAGGATAACTAGAACTCTTCCACTCAGGAAGAGTAGCATTAGAACTCTAGTTGTTTCTTATTCTACTAACTCTATATATTGCAGGATGTTCTCATTCTCTGTCTTTTATTCTAGTTTAATTTTAGTAGGTGATTTTTAAATTGTACCTTTCAGCTTTATCTAGAAGCAATTGTAATAGGTACTCTGAGTATTCAAGTTAGAGTTAACTTGAAGTTGTCGCAACAGTTAGAGGCTGGTTGCCACAACGGGATTAGAGGTAATCCTTAGGCTTACAAAGAGTCTTTGTAAATGCTGTTTTGGCTCAGTGTTTCAGTGAAGTGTTGTAGAAAATCCTACTGAGTAGTAGGTCGTGGTTTTTTCACCTTTTAAGCAGGGTATTTTCCACGTAAAAATATTTGTGTTCTTTACTTTTTGCATTTACTATTTCAACAACAGTAGGTTAAGAAACACTTAGAAGAACCAGGTCCTTCTATAATCAGTGCACGCGCAAATTGGATACCACACAAATAACGCATTGACATACTCCAATAAAATATCACAGGTGAAAGTTGAGATGGGGCTCAGCACAGTGGTTTAGACAGAATGCACGCTTTTTTCAATTTGCGGCTGATTCTCCAGTCTTCTTCGATGGGCGTGAGAATCAGGTCTTAGTTTCATACTGCTTGAAAATATTGCAAACAAACAAAGCTAATTTTTGTTTATTAAATAAAGGTTGTAGCTTGTTTGAATTAGATGTAAGATAGGCATGTATGTAGAGGCGGATCCGGGATTTAATTCCTATGGGTTCAATTTTAAAGTTTTTAATATTGAACCCATTATATTTTTAAAGTTATGGGTTCAGATCTACTATTTTTATAATTTTAATGAATTTTTACATACAAATTTTTACTCCGCGTCGAAAGTTATGGGTTCAGATCTACTATTTTTATAATTTTAATGAATTTTTACATACAAATTTTTACTCCGCGTCGAAAGTTATGGGTTCAGTTGAACCCGTACATAATATACTACATCCGCCTCTGCATGTATGCATTCGTTTGCTAGACCATGGTATATTTTTAGGGTTCATATATGCATTGGTCCGGTCGAAGAACTTGCTCCAGAGCAACTATTCCGCCTACCCTTCTTTGCTTGATTGTTAGTATAGTTGGGAAGAGAAGTCAATGAAGTTCTATATCATCTCAAAAAAGTCAATGAAGATATATTTACTGAAGCATGTTTGTTTAAAGAAGCAGGGAAATGTGCTGCTCCTTATACCAAATGTCATTAGCTCAAGATGGAAAAAGAAAACGAAATTATGTAAAAATACAATTAAAATTCTAAAAAGAATGTTGATAAGAGCAGATACACATATCAGTATGCATCGCTCCGTGTACCAAATTTCATTAGCTCAAGATAGAAAGAGAACGAAATTATGTAAAAATACAATTAAAATTTCTACATATAGATAGTTAGATACCACAACACCCATTTTTCAAATTGATTTCACTTAGATTATTGGTTCAATGTGATAATTTGATTTCTCGTGAACACTCTTAAACATGGATAGTAAGTATTTGTATAATCTATATCTTAATTTATTTGAAATTGAGGCGTACCTATTGCTATTGTACTTCAAAAGAGTAAGAACAAGCAAGTAATGACAATAGGCATGAGAGGCAAAGTGAGCGCCAAAATTCTTGGAGCATAAAAGACAATATGACAGTTTCGAGCCTTTTCCTCATCAGATGGGGCATCTGAAATAGTACCACAAGTTTTGATGTGTGTTTAAAACTTAAAGCAATAGATCTATATGAAGGGCAACCTACCAGAAAGCAGAAAAGCCTCAGTGGTACCAAATTTGAGTCAAAACGAAGAAAAGTGTGCTAAAGGGACCATAGACATGAATTAAGAGCAATTAAAATCCAACTGGACTTTGGGTCCACCACGCTAAAGGGAAAAAGCCTAGCTAGGTTCCTGTCCGCCTACCGCAGACATACGTGCTGGAGTTGTACATATTATTCTTCATGGGAGTGCAAAGGCAAAGGCTCTGTTCGAGGAACATTATATAGGAGTGAGCACAGGACAAAGGAGCATTTGAAACCCCAGGGGCGTAGTGGGTCAAAAAAGAGTGAAAAGGTGAAAAGAGAGGTAGTTGCTAGCCAGACGTGCAGGTACATTGCATCACCTGTAAAGCGAGAAATAGACCAACTTATGGTTACATGAAATAGACAAATTTATGGTTACATGAAATAGACCAACTTATGTTTACATGCATGCTAGGAATATCTTCTGTTGCATCCATTTTAAAAGCGGGTCTAAGATAAAGCACGGCGTGTATTGTTGATATTTTTCTTTGTATTTGGTCTAATGTTCAAAAACAATTTAGCAAAAAAAAAAAAAAAAAAAAAAAAAAAAGGTTCATAAGTTACTAATTCAATCCCTTAAAAAAAAAGTTACTACTTCAATGTGACAAAAATCAGTTTTCTTTTTAAATGAAACAGCAAAAAGGAGGTGCTGATGGAACTGTACATGTGCCCTTCTAAACCTGTTCGGATTTAGCACTTCCACTGACCATATCTCCAGCACTACGGAGTCCGTGGAAGAATGATTCTGTTATACAGTATATGTTTATGATATAATTCGATCAATAATGGAACTTTGCACCAAAGGTCATAACAGTAAGGCAGCAAGAAAAACACAGATGTATCCTATAGCCATGCTGCAAGGAGAATTTGAATCTTTACTTTCCAGATCCAAAAAGCAGTACAAAAGAATCCAATCCATAAAGATGTCATCAAATTGACATTAGAATGTTACAAAAGAAATCAATGACTATGTTTTTTTTAACCTATATTACTAGTACTTACCGAGGAAGACATGTTATGGAGGTGGTACGTGGGGGCTGAACTGGTAATAGTATTGAGACGCATTTGTTGAGGGTGCCACCGGAGATGCTGAAGAAGTGATAAAAGCAGTAGCCGGAGTTAAGAATCCTGATGATGCTGCAGTGTAGAACATTGACACTGGGGCTGTATCAACCTGACTGGGCATTTGCAGTGCCCAGTTAGATGGTCCTTGTGATGAACCTATATCCTTTCTCTTGTCAGATGCTCTTCCCTGCCAAATAATTTTAATTAAGACTTAAAGCTTTAACTGTTGTAATATGTTTTAAACCAACGACCCTTCTTTAACATTATCCACCTTCAGAAAACCCCAACAAAATAAACAGAAATGCAAAGAAAAGGTCTTCATCATTAAGTTTTATATGATCCCAGCACTTGAGGAAAAAAAGGGGACTTGAAGATGTCTATTTTGGCAACTGAAGACATGCATATTTGACCAGAAGTTCCAAGTGGAGAAAAAGAAATCTAAATGGGAAACATCAATTCTTTTGGCCCCAAATAGTGGACTGAGGCCGGGGTTGATTCAATATCTTACCTCGTAGGTGGGAGAGAAATTAGAAGAAGCTCCACTCCACAAGTGAGCTTGTTTGGACGTCATTGGTAGTCCCTTGAGATGTGAACTTCCAACTATTACTGGACCAGGTTTATCCATCTGTGGTTAAAGAGCATAAATTGATTACTACAATCTACATGAAAGAAAGATTAACGATGTTCATGACATGTTTCTTCACAATTATGAATGAATTGGAAAAGCCATCGAATCAACAAAACAAGGTTCATGTTCATTACCAGTAATATATCCTCAGTTTTGAATTTACTCTAAGGGTCTCTTGCAAATGAACTTTGTGAAAGAGGAAAAATAGAAGACTAACATAAACAGAACATTTTAATCCAATTGAATCTGCACCAACAAAAGCATATAAGCTACTCTGCTAATACCTTTGATTTCGTTGCATCTTGCATATCATAAGGATGATAGTAGGAGCCTCCCAACTTGTCATTTTCCTTTGAAGAAGAGGTCGACATCCCCAAGTTCAGATCAAGATCATGTTGGCGACCTGCATCATAGGCATCACAAATGAGATAGATCAAGATATAGATATTAGATAATACAGTTGCTTGGAATTAGTGACATTAGTTTGGAAATGAGCAAGAGCATTTGAGCAAACCTTGAGGTTCAGAGATTGTTTCCCCTTCATATGCACTTGGCTCAAAGTTGGTAACAGCCTCCCTACCATTAGTTTTGATTGCCGCCTTATCATAAGCCCTAATATACAGAAAATAAAAAAGGGAAATGCAGGTTGGATAACACAAGATTGAAGTGGAGAATTTAAGGTAACAGTTCATTATCAGAGAGAGGGTAATTCAAGATCATTAGGACCTTGCAGCTTCTACTTCACTGTCGAATAGCCCAAGATACATATACCTGCAATTCAAGCAGTGCAACCCCCACCGTGAATACTATAGTACCAACAATTTCTTCTTCAAATAGGCATGTTTAACTGATTTGTTTCCCAGATTGGACCAATTATTACCCTAAGCTATAATCTACTTCTACAAGCTATTTCAATGAGTTTGTTCCTTACTTTTTTCCGAGAAACTGTCCCATCCGAGCTTCCCATCTGCCACATTTATGTAGCGTTACTCCTCTGAATTTGGAGCTCCCTCTTGAGAAACCATTGCTATGGCGTCGCAGCAAGTGCACAAATTCCTCTTTACCAAGGTCTTTCATCTGCATTAATAAAAGAGAGTCGAAATAGTTCATAATAGATACAGATGATTTATATATCGACGCCAATTAATACAGAAACAATTATGAACCAGTGTAGACAAGGGTTCAACAGTGACCTTAACATATTATCACACATAGAATCTTTGCATTTCTGACCTGTTTCATATCCTCCTCGTAATCACTTATGCTAAAGTTGATATCAGCATCAACACCCCGGAACTTAATTGCAGCTCTGTCATACGCCCTATACAATGGAGAAGAAAATTGATACAATCAAATCAAGGAAGGGAAATAACGTAAAGCTGAAAAATCTGACAACTCTGAGATTTGAGATGACTTTTGGTTTACCTTGCTGCTGTATGAGCAGTATCAAAACCACCTAATATAAACCAACAACAAAAACCAAACAAAAATTACCAAAAATAGAAAAAAGTAGAATTATATTTAGCACGAAAATCCACAAAAACAACTAAATTAACTAAACTGGGTAATAGTTAAAATAGCAATATGCATACCTAAATATACTTGTTTTCCACAGTCCCTGCATCCAATAGCAGTTATATTAATACATGAGTTTAAGTTCGATGTACTAATAGTGCAATTATTTTTACACAATCAAATTTTTTAAAAGATAATTGCAGGTAGTTCTATTTAATATAATTGATTTGTATCCTAGAACAATGGTAAGTGAATTGCTATAATAAGTTAAATTATATTGATGATGTAACACATTCATTACAATGAAAATGTATATAAGTTAATTCCTTAATAAATTGATTATTGATCATTGTATTTAAGTTATATTCAGTGACCGTGTAGAGATCTTATTACAAAAATTAAGCTATAATACCAAGTTAGTTAACATTTTTATCAAAGTATCAATTAATGTTTTTCAAGAGATACATGTAAGTACCTAATAAGCAATCTGATTATGTAAATATCATTTTGATAATAAATGAAGTATGATCTAGTCAAAAGTTTTACAGGTGGAAAACTAACCAAATATGTGATTCCCATCTACCAGTTCTTCTGTAAAAAGTAACGCCTCTGTACTGTGAACTTCTGGACCTTGGCCCTCTCCTACTCTTCTTCACTTGCGGTTTCTCTTGCTGCGGTTGTTGTTGTTGTTGTAGTACTGTTCGCTCGTCTCCAAAACCGGATCGACCGGAGGAGAAATTGACCCGATCGGTCTGTCCTGGCCGGTTCAACTCTCCGTCATGAACCGGAAACAGCTGCCGAGTCACAAACTTGTTGCTCCTGCTAGTTGTATCAACTCCTCCAAATTTGAGGATGTCGAAATTGAATGCGAACAAGTTGCCGGCGCGTGTTGAACACGTGTCGTCGTCGCCTCCGGCACTGCTTGTAGCCTCCGCATTTCGTAACGATGATGAATTGGACGTCCCTGATTCATGATCAGCTACAGAACCTTCCGGAAGCTTCTCGTCAACGATGTAATTCTCATCGTAGATTACATTTACATTGAGATCCAACATCTCACTCTCTTCACCTTCCAATAATACAAAACAAAGTATATGTATATTTGTAATTCTGTATATACAACTTTTCGGTTAAACAAAATGAGTTTGCAAACAACTTGTATTTAACATTTAAGCGTCAATCAATAACACTATGTTTGTATATAGAAAAGTTCAACAAAAAATTAGCTGATCAGAGAAGAGGAAATTTTGTATGGTGTGAGGATTGAAGCTAATTCACTACACTCATATATGTATAGACTATAGTATACGATATATCGCGAACTGCGTGATTCCAGGGGTGAGATATGTTTTTTTTTTTTTTTT